TGTAAGACTAGACCAATTACACCTGGCCTCAGGCACTGTCTTTCATTTTCAGTGTCCGATAGACTTTTGGCAACCTCTGACCCTTGGGTTAAACTATCAGTTTCTGAAGAAGTAAGTAAAGAAAAATAGCCAAACGTACAGTGAAGTACATAAATATTTGATCCCCTGCTGATTTTGAATATTTGCCCACTCACAAAGAAATGATCAGTCTAAAAATCGAATGGTAGGTGTATTGTAACACTGAGACAGAATAGCAACAAAGAAATGCATGTCTAACAAATGATGCACTGATTTCCATGTTCATGAGGGAAATAAGTATTTGATCCCCTATCATTCAGCAGGATTTCTGGCTACCAGGTGTCTTTCATACAGGTAACAAGCTGAGATTAGAAGCAGTCTCTTAAAGGGAGTGCTGCTAATCTCATTTTGTTACCTGTATAAAAGACACCTGTCCACAGGAGCAATCAAACAATCAGATTCCAAACTCTCCACCATGGCAAAGACCAAAGAGCTGTCCAAGGATGGGACAAGATTGCAGACCTACACAAGGCTGGACTGGGCTACAAAACTATCGCCAAGCATCCTGGTAAGAAGGTGACAACAGTTGGTGCAATCATTCGTAAATGGAAGAAACACAAAACAACTGTCAGCCTTCCTAGGTCTGGTGTACCATGCAAGATCTCATCTCATGGAGTGTCAATGATCATGAGAACAGTGAGGAATCATCCCAGAACTACACGTGAGGATCCTGTCAATGATCTCCAGGCAGCTGGGACCACAGTCACCAAGAAAACAATTGGTAACACACTACGCAGACAAGGACTGAAATCCGGCAGTGCCCCCAAGGTCCCTCTGCTCAAGAAAGCACATGTCCAGGCCCGTCTGAAGTTTGCCACTGAACATCTGAATGATGCAGAGGAGGACTGGTTGAAAGTGTTGTGGTTGTGGTGTAGATGAGACCAAAATCGAGCTCTTTGGCATCAACTCAACTCACTGTGTTTGGAGGAGAAATGTTGCCTATGACTCCAAGAACACCATCCCAACTGTCAAACATGGTGGTGGAAACATTCTGCTTTTGGGGTGTTTCTCTGCTAAGGGGACAGGACAACTGCACCGCATCAAAGGGATGATGGACGGGGCAATGTACTGTCAAATCTTGGGTGAGAACCTTCTTCCCTCAGCCAGGGCAATGAAAATGTGTCATGGATCGGTGTTCCAGCATGACAATAACCCAAAACAGACGGCCAAGGCAACAAAGGAGTGGCTCAAGAAGAAGCACATTAAGGTCCTGGAGTGGCCTAGCCAGTCTCCAGACCTTAATCCAACTGAAAATCTGTGGAGGGAGCTGAAAGTTCGAGTTGCCAAACGTCAGCCACCAAACCTTGAGGAGTGGGCCAAAATCCCTCCTGAGGTGTGTGCAAACCTGGTGGCCAACTACAGGAAGCGTCTGACCTCTGTGATTGCCAACAAGGGATTTGCCAAGTACTAGGTCATGTTTTTTGAAGGGGATCAAATACTTATTTCCCTCATGAACATGGAAATCAGTGCATCATTTGTTAGACATGCATTTCTTTTGAATTTTTTGTTGCTACTCTGTCTCTCAGTGTCACAATACACCTACCATTCGATTTTTAGACTGGTCATTTCTTTGTGAGTGAACATTCAAAATCAGCAGGGGATCAAATACTTATTTCCTTCATTGTATGTCTTTCTGAAAGTAGAATTTCGTGCTTCAGGGCCCCCAGAAGCTCTTGTACAGCATGTTTGCACATTATAGCACACTTAGCTCATAAAGTGCCCTCCCCTCCAGGGTTGTATGATGTTTGCGCTCCACTCGTAACGCCTGCTTTTTCCATATCCACATTTCTTTATTCTCTAGACAGGGAGGAGGTAATTCCTGCACATGCACATGGAAGTTACTTTGTCCTGACATGGCACACTGTTAGCTGGGCATGCACAGCACAGTGTGCAACCACAGTATCTGTATATTGACCTGATGATGTGCATGTAAGTGTACAATAGGAAAATCATTTCTAGCAGGTAGGGGGAAAGCTTTAATGGCAGAAGAGATATCTGCTAGCCAAGATATGGAATCTTTTCCTTTTTCTTTTTTTTTTTGCATTATGCTGCCACCTAGAGGCACAGCAAGGGTACCTATGTATTCTAGAAATACATTTGGTACCGGCACCGAAAAAGGTACACTCCATGTAAATGTATTTTAATACTATAGCTTGAATTAGGCCTCGTGAGCACTGGATGTTTGGCCATCTCTCCTAGACACCTTACCTCCTGGCAGCAGCGTTTTGACAGAAAAAAAAATGCTTGATGCTTATAAATGTGCTTAGGCATGTTTAGGTGTATTCAGGCGCGTCAATCACTTGGGCATTAATTCATTTAATTGGTCAGAATAATAATTTATTTTGGTTATGGAAATGAATTAATGCTCAAACGCTAAACACACGTTTACACACGCTACTGCTCCAGGACGTGCTGGCTGTGGGTTTTTTTTTTTTTTCCTCTAAACGCCTATGTGTGCATGGACACATAGGTTGACATGTAGGGGCATTCAGAGGCAGAAAAAAAAAACCCATGAAGCCCCTGTTGCAAACGTGCGCTCCAGAGACTGACACAGTCTGCCATTTTGTTAAGAGTAGCCATGTTATTCCCTCATTCTTCCCCCCCCCCCTCACTCTGAGAGGCACAGTGACAGATGTGTGTGTTTTAAAAGTGTCACAGGCCAGATCCCAGCAGGGAGCCATGAGGTGCCTCACTGTCCCAAGACCCTGTGCCATCTCACACCTCCTAAGAGATAAGGCAAGCTTTCTCAAGAGTTGAAAGAGATTCCGACCTCATAAACCTAGCTCAGCATAGGTGATAGAATCAGATAAACACTTCTCAAATCCATTTCTACCCTATTTCTCATATCTTGAAATATGAGAGGCTTACATAAAAACCAGACATACCGTCAGATTGGCTAGGAGGAGCCGAATAGTTTGATGGGTCACTCGACTTGTCTCGCATACACAGGAAAGCAAAAAAATAGATCTCGGGAACCATTTAGCCTACACTTTCATAATTCATATCTAATCAATCCTCAAACTTATCTGCTTAATAATCTACCTGCGGGTGGGATGTCACTTGTGCATAGGAAAAGTTATGAGCCCAAATATGTACACAAGATTTTGGCTCTAGTTTAGGTCGCCACCCAGACCTCCACACCTACACGAGGTATTGGTCCGTGGCGTCAGAGACACCCCCTGCTGGGGACTTTAAAACAGGCTGTCAGGCCTAAGAGAAGTAAAGTTGAAGACATCTCCCATTTTTTCCATCGTAACATAGGGAGATCAAAGCCCTTCTGCCCAGAAACTTGGTCTGCTTACATCCAAGGCTTAATGGCAAGTATCTTAACCCTTTAACCTCTCCCTGATATCTCTTTGCTGTGCTGCTAGTCTCTGTATGTGTATATATATATTATATATATATATATATATATATATATATATATATATATATATCTCTTAGCTATCTCTCTCTCTCTCTCTCTATATATATATATCTTAGTTACATCTTTTTCTGTATGTTTATATATATATATATCGTAGTTACATCTTTTCCAGTAAATATTTTTTATTGCACCCATTTGACCTCTTAGTAATAAATCTTTCTTTCTGAAAGTGTTGAACTGTTTCTATAGCGCTTAATTGCAATTTACAAATCCCTGCCTTTAAAGAGAATGCTACTGTGTTTGTTTGAACCTCTGTATAACTGGCCTGCGGACCATTTTATACAGGCCATTATATCAACCATTATAGTGTTATAGCTGAACGCCGAGTTTCCTCTTTCTCTGATCAAAAAGGAGGTGGTGGCAGTGTGAATGGTTAATTTGCGTAATTAACCTGACCCAGTAACAATCGATTCAGGCTGCTGGCACATCGATCGGTATCCATTAGCTGGAAAATCTTTGTGCAGGGTACAGTTGGGTGTGGCATTGTTACAACCGTCACATCGCGGTTGTAGATCGGCTAGCCCTTCGGTCACGAGTTTGGTGAGAAGGTCTGGGGTCTGACACCGCGATCGTGACAGCCCCCAACAGTAGCGTAAAAAACATCCAGTGTGCATGAGGCCTACAATCAGAAATACTGTAAATTGTTATCACCAGACAAATTTATCTTGAAACAAACACCGAAATTACCCTACCCTTGTACAACTGTATGAAAGGGTAGTTACATTCAATACTAGTTCAGACATATGTTTAATGTAACTAGTGTAAGTGGCATGAAAGGAAACTGGGAACACAGTGGCTGCGGACAGTTTTTGTGAATGTGCAGAATCCTTCCTTTACCATATAATGTAGTATATAAAAAAAAAGGATTTTAGGCAGTTTCCACGTGCTTCTATAATGTAATAATATAGCAGCTAGACCCTGCAAATACTTACCTATCTCTTGGAGTGCAGTCCCTCATTACCTGGACAAGTGGTGTCTTAAATTTGGGGCTCATTCGCATTTTTCAGGGAACGCACCTGCACTGCAGCTCACAGTAATGCACTATTCTGTTTTTTGGTGCACTGTATTACCAAAAATGGTGTAGGTTTGATTTTCGATTTCGACCATTGTGGTTCATTGGCTGCCCATTCAAATGCAACCAATGATTAGGCAGAGGCAGGCAATCAGCCTTAGTCTCGCACAGAACAGCAGAGAAGATGGAGAAGTGGAATTCAGGAACAGTGGCTAACTGGTCTCAGGTTGACCCCACTCCAGGGTATCAGAAGTATTCTGAGTGTTTACCTGCTATTTTTAAAAATGAGGAAAGTGTGAACCTAAAGTGATTTTTTTTACTTCAGGTCTGCTCTAATTCTAAATGAAAAAATCAAGGATGCACAGAAAGCTATGAAACAGGAAAACTTTGTATTCTAAAATGCAACTATATCTCTGCCCTATACCTACTCACAAATGTGTGAACTCAGTGGGTGGTTACAGTAATAGTGTTTTTTCTTATTACCTGTGGGATATAGAGGAGGTGTCACTTGCAGCCACAGAAGAGGTTGTAGATTCCTGTGACGCTGTTGGTGGCTGATCATCCCCACTCTCGGTTTCCTGTGCTGCACATACAGTTGTTGTCCTCTTCCCTGTCTGTGTCAGGGAAATGCTGGAGGTTGTAGCGGTGGCAGGAGCGCTGGATGCAGGCAGACTCTGCCCCTGGATTGCACTGTTTATTTTTCGGCCAGGCTGTGATGAGGGGATGTCATCTTCAGAATCAGAGCTCATGACTTGATGTGTGTAGCTGAATATTTCTTTCAGTTTCAGCACCATCTGCTTCTTAGGAAGGGCTCTCACTCCGTATCTGAGCGACAGGGAAAACTTTATAAGACAACTCAAGTCAAAACAGAAAACAAAGCCTTTTTCTAGGCAGTCAAAATGGCCTACTATGGGCCTATGCCCTTTTTTCTGTGCAGCCAGTAATGGACTCTTTGTGCTGCAGTCCGACTCCATTCTCATAGTCTGTAGTCATTTTCTGTCACCACCGCGCTCCCTGACTCAGTGGTTTACTGTGTAGAAGCCCCCCTGCAAATACAATTTACAGTGTAGAAGCCCCCCTGCAAATACAATTTAGTGTCTTCAGTAGTTCATTGAACACAGCTGATCATGCTGGGTAGGAGTGTAACGACTCCAAGCAGTGATTAAAGTGTATAGAACAGACAAGATTGCCACATCAGAGCAACGGTCAATTGTGTTAAAACAGTGTAGTATAACAATAACTTTAGCAATATTTTTTAATGAATACAAATATATGACCCAATGGAGGTTTTATACTTGCATGGAGCTTTTTTCAAATCTGAAATATGCAGGTATTCATCCTGTCTTCAATGGCAGCAACAAAATTTACAAATAAAAAAATGCAAAATGAATATCTGTATTTCAGTAAAAAAAAAAAAAAAAAAAAAAAAAAAAAAAAAGGTATGAGCACCTCTAGCATTTCAAGCTCAGGTAGTCCTGTACCTACAGCCTCATAGCTGTATATCTATAGTGTGAGATCTAAGGCAATGCTGCCTCTGACTGACAGTCTCAAGAAATCTGGAATGAGATTTGGTGATGTCACCACTGTGCAGTTTTTTGTTCTTTTTGGAAGTTCTGGCAAGAGGGAACAGAACCCTGCCTCTACCAAGATTGCTGCTCCCACACAGAGACACCATACAGAGAAAGGTATGGGTAAGTTAGTAATGGGGGAAGAATTAGAAGCAAGGCCACAAGCAATGATGGTAACTAGTGCTTTGACATTCGGCTGTTTCAGTTTCTCTTTAACTTCTTCCCCTCCGCCCTATAGCAGAAATACTGCTACAGGGCGGCAGGGCTGCGCAAAATCACGTGTATATATACACGTGATTTTGCATTTCCGGGTAGGGCGCGCGTACGCCCTACCCGTGCCACCATTGGCGGCCTCAGCTGTCGATCACTGGGTCCCAGCCGGTGATTCCCCACTGGCACCTGGCTATCTACAAGCACCACTGATGGGGGAGAGATCTGTATGTAAACAATACAGATCTCTCCCGTCAGCTCCTGCACACTGCTTTATATGGCTCTGCATAGCAGAGCCATACAAAGCAGTGTGCTTACACAGTGAACCACACACACACACAGTAAAACAGCACACAGTTAACCCTTTGATCGTTCCAGATGTTAACCCCTTCCTGCCCAGTGTCATTAGTACAGTGTCAGTGCTTTTTATTAGCACTGATCACTGTATTAGTGTCACCGGGGATGTCAGTGACAGTTAGTCAGTTTCCCTCCCAGTGTCAGAATGCCTGCCGCAGTCCCGCTATAAGTCGCTGATCGCCGCCATTACTAGTATAAACATTTTTTTTTCTCTAAATTCCAGTATATATACCGCCATTTGTAGACGCTATAACGTTTACGTAAACCAATTAATTTACATGTATTTGGATTATTCTTAGCAACAACATGTAGCAGAATACATTTTGGCCTAAATTTATGAGGAAATTAGATTTTTTTATTTTTTTTTACTGGACATGTTTAATAGCAAAAAGTCAAAAATATTGTTTTTTTTTTCTCAAAACTGTTGGGGTTTTTTTGTTTATAGCACAAAAAATTAAAAATGCACAGGCGATCAAATATCACCGAAAGAAATCTCTATTTGTGGAAAAAAAAAAAAAAAAAAAAGGACATAAATTTCATTTGGGTGCAGTGTTGCATGACCGCACAATTGTCAGTTAAAGTAACGCAGCGCCGTATCGCAAAAAATGGCCTGGTCAGGAGGGGGGGGGGGGGTAAATCCTCTGGAGGGGAAGTGGTTAAAGTGAATCTTTTTATGAAAATAATGTGTAGGTCTAATACAGCATTTAGCAGTCTCTTACAGTGTTCACATTAAAGGAGGAGAGGCATATAAGAATACAACCAACAGTAAAAAAATATCTTCCTTATACAGACACTGCATAAAAAAAATGATCAGCATGAGAATGTACAGGGTGAAAATAGGAGTCAACTATCTTAGCGATTGCTACTAAAGAAAGGATATACAATTGTGCTGTGTTCTCATTAAATGATATAAAAAAAAAAAAAAATACTAGGGTTGCACCAATACCATTTGTTTACCAGCGAGCAGGAGTACTGATACTTGTGCTGAAGTACTTGCCAACACCGAATACCTTTGCGGTGCGATTTGAGCCCATACAAAATGAAGGGGCTCAAATCACACTGCAAAGAATTGCATATGAATTGAACAGGAATGTGGTGCGATTCCTGTATGAATCACATGCGGTTTCCTGTGGGTGAGGTGCACTTTGCAGTGCGATTTGAGCCAAACAAAATGAATGGCTCCCGATGCACTGGAAATCACACCACACCTGATGGGACACCGCATGTGATTCATACAGGAATGGCATCGCTACTTCAGCTGAAGTAACATGATTTCGGTTCAAATCAGAAGCAATTCTTTGTAGATTTGCAGATCTGTGTGATTTGAGCCCATTCATTTTGTACTGATATCCGGTATTGGAGCATTTTCACGAGTACGGGTATTTTTGCAAATGCTTAGTATCGGCACCGATGCCAATATCGATGCAACCTTAATAAATACAAACTGCTTTTAGCCATTTTGGTGTAAGCTCCTGGACCAGCTAAACATTCATTTTATCCTATACAATGATATTGCTATGCAAATAAATCATTGAGATGTCGGAAAAAGGGAGGGGGGGGGGGGCAAACCGTGCTGTTTACCCACCTGTTTAATTCCTTCTTTAAGACTGGGGTGTCCATGTCCGAATAATCCGGTAGTGGAGTGATAGCAACCTTTGGTGCCAACTCTCTCTTGCGCACAATAGAGACTAAAAGTGAAGAGAGATGTATTATTGGGAATATCATGTAGGGCCACAGCAAAATGCCAAAGTTTTTCAATGTAATGCATCTCAACTACAAGCAGACTTTGTCACTCCAGAGACTCATCAAAACTTTTTTTCCAGAATTCAAGCATGCTGTGACTAGTGATCTGCATACCATCCCACATTGCTGTACCTCAATGAACCTTCTAAAGAAATTTGGGTATAGCGGTAAAAGAAGTCACTGTGGACACAATAAATGACCCTGCCAGCACTCAACAGCAAATTAACTCGTTCTTTCCCTTTTCCCTATAGCTAAAATGTGTCTACTGATTTTTTTCCTATTGTTTAACCATTAATATTTAAACTTGTTTGCTTCTATTCATTTTAATTGGTACATTTTTTTGGTGTCATTAAAAAATTTAAAAAAAGACTATATTGAAAAAATGTCATTATTTCATTTGTAACTTTTTACTTGGATTTAGTTGTTTTGGGTGTACAATGCAACACCAAAGTCCATAATGTTTAAAGCAAAGATATTTCTGAGTCAGCCCATCAGCCCATACCAGAAATGTTAAAATTGCTCTGTTCTATAAGAGGTATACAGGTGTGAGAGCTGAACTGATTATATATCGATGGACTTTTCATTTCACTGTGCACAAAAGTCTAAATTAAAGTGGAACTTTACCCATAATAACTTGATAAAAATAATGTCCTTTAGCAAGAAACATACATTCCACATTTTTAAAGTGATACTAATTGTTTTTTTTTTTTTATATAAAATAACAAACATGTCATACATACCTGCTCTATGCAGTAGTTTTGCACACAGCTGCCCCGATCCTCTTCTTTTCGGGTCCCCCCGCCAGCACTCTGGCTCCTCCTCCCCCCCTCTCCCCTTACTGGCTGTGATTGACAGCAGCGGGTGCCAATGGAAAGGATAGGAGGGGGCTCAGGTAAGGATTGGGGGGGGGGGGGGCGCAGCACATAGGTTTTTTACCTTCACGCATAGAATGCATGAAAGTAAAAAACCTTGAGCCTTTATAACTACTTCAATTATGCTACCAAAATTAGTGTGTGCTGCTAGTGTGAGCATTGCACCCACGATCATCAGATTGCGAGCACAATGTACATTTTCAGATAGCCTGGTTTTAGTATTGGTTTTGCAGTGTTGTTACATCATGGCAGACAAACCTACCTGGGGTCCTGAGCAACTTCTGCACATCTGGGACTTTGCTTAGACGCTGAGACAATGGCAGAACAGCAGGCAGTTCAGGCTCTTCGTCCTCCCACTCATCCCACAGCTTGGAGTTGAGATAACTTGATTGTTTGCTCTGAGAAGCTGTAGTGCAAGGAGAGTCCTCACATTTATCAGGCTCACTGTCTCTTTCCTGTAGTGCAGACATCCTGTGGGAGGGTGCTGGGGTCTTGGCTGGTGTTACATTGATGTGCAAAGAAGCAGCGTTTTCTGGTGAAAAGTAAGGCCTTGTTGGACTCTCCTGTGCGTTTATCCACAAATCATCTTCAATGGGAATGGGTGGTTCATCGTAATCCATCTGGAAGCTGCAAGCACTGGTGTCAGCCTGGGGCTCAGCCATCGGCCCCTCCTCTTCACTGTCCACAACTTCAAACACAGTACTGCTAGCAATGGATGATACTGGCGAAGAGCGGACACAGGAAATCTTGCTACCTGTGCTAGTGCTGGACCCTGCAATCTTTTCAGGGGTGTTTGGGTATGGGGGTCGATTAGCAAATGAAGATGTCTGGGTTCTGTTCAAAGTCACGAGAGATGTGTTTCTCTGAGTTGGTGACACCAAGCTATGACGAGAATCATCATGGTTGCCTGCTTTGGATGTTTTTGGTGATTGCACTACATGTGATGCTTGGAGCAGGGAAACTCCTGTCCCTGTTAAATGTGGCATAGGCGTAGCAGGTACCAACCAAGACATTTCTGAACTACTGCTTTTATCCAGGAGTGAATTTCCTTCACTGTTTTTTCTAATACTGAAGCTAACAGGAGATTCTTTAATGCTCGTGAAAATGCCAGACCTATTGCTATGAGCTTTACCTTCAGCAGTTTGAGCACTGTTCTCTGTCTCTTCATCAGATGACAGGATCAAGATAATGTCTTGCTCATCGGACACAGCTGTAGAGGAAACCTTGCTGGAATTCTGTGTAGGTTCACTATGTTTAGAATCTTTACAAATGGAGGCTGGGGAATTTCCATTCTCAGGAGCTGATAAAGAGGACTGTCCTAGAAAGGACCGTGTTTGCTGCTGGATGTTAGCTGGAGATCCAAGCTCTGGAAGAGTAGGACGTTGAATAACAGAAGGTGAGCTTGTAAGTACAGGTAGCTCATGGGATGGGGTGTCTACATGCATGCGAGAGCTTGATTCGCAAAGTCCTGAAGGCTCTACATACTCCCCACATGTCTCTGAAAATATACGGTCATAGCTATCATCGAGAGGCATAGGGCTATGCTGGGTGAACAAGTCTGCTTCAGGATCTTCCTCTCTGTCTGGAGATATGAGTGAAATAGTGTGGACCACTTCAGCAGAGGTATCACTGAGCACAGCTGAGGGACTTACGGATGGCTCTGAATGTGTGATAAAAGGTTGACATGCTGGAGTGTTAGTTGTGGAACTGTGCTGTCTGGAAGTAGACTGAACAGGAGGTGGCTGAGTTTTAGTCCAAGAAGGGGAAGCTAAAGGAGGTATTGCAGGAGAAGACCCCAGGTTGTAAGATTGAAGACAGACAGGTGAATTCTGAAGAGGAGACCCTGCAGCATCCTTTTGAACAGGAGACAATGTTAAAGAACTATTTCTTATATTGCGTTTTGAGTGACATTCTACAGACTGTTGATTTACTACATCCATAGGCTGTTCTTCTCTAGCAGCCTGGCTTCTGGTTGAAGTAGAAAGGTCTTCAGACTCCTTGTCTTGATATCCAGCTTCAGGTTCACCACTACTTTCAGCTTCTGTGGTCTGTTCCTCTGATTTTCTATGCTGAGTGGCTGCAAATTCATAGATTTCCTCCAAATCCCCTTCTTCAATCTGTCCATCATCAAATTTTTCCTCAAGTCCTTCTGCCACCTCCTTGTCTGAAAGTAGATCTTCATCCTCATCCATCCACATGGACTTCAATAACTCCTGGAAATTTTCTTCTCTCTCGCCTCCATCATCCTCCTCCTCTCTTTCTTCTGTAGGTGCTACATCTTCTGACTCATGGGGTATGCCCACTAAAAGTTCACAGGTGTCTATGAGACTTTTCACTCCAAATCTATAGGAAATATGATTGAAAGATTACACATCAAAGTAGAAGACAAGTGAGCACAACCACTTTTAAATGAGTTAAATTTCAATATCATAAGTCAGGGAACACAACACAATCGTCCAACAAGCCAAATAACGTTTGGCTTCTAAGCAAGGGCCTCCTAAGTTATTTGTGCTTTAACCAGGGCTTCCCACACTCCCATTTTTTAGTACAGCAAATACTGAGTGAGGCCATTAATTCCTCATGGTTGAGTCTGTATTTAAGAGAATTCAGCTTTCTATAGACCCTGTCATCTTGCCAATTCGGGGTCTGGGTAAAGCCGACTCCTTACCATGTACTTTTCACCTCTGCAGGGCACTCCTGTTGCTCTTTCCTCCATTGTAGCCATCACTAAGTAACCTATTAGTGGGACTAAAAGGGAGTGGTGACATCAACCTCTCCATCATGTGACAATGATTGAGCCTAGCAATCAAGCACTATGCCTGAACACTGTCACACAAAGGAAGGAGTAATCTTACCACTCCTTCTTAGCTCTGACATTGGGTTTCTGAGTGGTGGCTCTGATTGAATATAGAACAAAGGCAGCTGAAGTGAGTATGAAGGAAGAGGTCACATGCAGTCCCACACACGGAAAGCACCCAATATTTTGTAGCATTAGTCATGAAAGAAGACGCAGAGGTAGAATGCTGGAGAGGTGAATATAAGGCAGTTGGGGGTGAACTTTGGACAAACCGTGTCACTTCCTAATATTGTTTTACGTTAAGCGCCTCCCGCCCACCATTTAAGGAAATGACGGGCAACAGGTCTCTTGTTCTGGAAGGACATAATTTATGACTCTACCTACGCATGCACACCCCGGGGGCGTGCAGCGATCGGTGGTGCGCTGAGTCCCTGGGACACAGCGGATCACCAATCACAGTAAAGAGCCAATGACACAAGCTCTGTCATGTGATTACCTGTCAGTGCCAATCAATGCCACCTGTCAGTACCCATCAATGCCACATACCAGTGTCTATCAGTGCACATCAATGCCACATATCAGTGCCTACCAGTGCACATCAACGCCACATATCAGTGCCCATCAGAGCTGCCTATCAGTGCCAATTTTCAGTGCTGCCTATCAGTGCTAGTCAGTGCCGCCTATCAGTTCCAATCAGTGCCGCCTATCAGTGCCATATATGAGTGCTGGCTTTCAGTGTCCATCAGTGATGCCTGTCAATGCCCACCAGTGCCTCCTCATCAGTGCAGCCTATCAATGCTCATCACTGCAGCCTCATTAGCGCACATCAGTGAAGGAGAAAAATTACTTATTTACAAAATATTATAACAAAAACTAAAAAAAAAAAAACGTTTTTTTTTTTCCCCCAAAATTTTCAGAATTTTTTTAGTTTGTGTAGCAAAAACTAAAAACCCCAGTGGTAATTAAATACCACCAAAAGAAAGATTTATATGTCTCAAAAAAATTATACAAACTGGGTGCAGTGTTGCATGACCACTCAATTGTCCTTCAAAATGCGACAGCTCTGAAAGCTGAAAATTGGCCTGGGCAGGAAGGGGGTAAAAGTGCCCGGTAAGCAAGGGGTTAAAGGGCAGTCCATAGACCTATATATCTATTAGTTAGATATAGTGGGCTGAAGTACCCACTGGCTTTAGAACTACACCTACAAGATGTATTTTTCTATACAGTATATCATTTTACACAAAGATTAGTTCACCATCCATATGGTCCTCCTTTGTGAAAGGAACTGATTCAAATGTGTATATGTAACTTACCTACGAGCCAGTTCACAAACGTGCGGTAGGCAGTGGCTGGGGATGTCTGTCTTGGCAGAGTATAGGAATTGTAGAAAAACAAGAGCGGCTTCAGCAGACACATCACTGAGCAGAAAACGTCTCACACGACCTGTGCTGGCTTCATCTACATAGAATCCTTCAGAGTGTACCTGGACAAAACACCGCCATGATGGTATGAATATATAGTTGTAAGTAGAATGCAATTTATCATCAGACTTAGCAACAAGGCAATATAAAGAGCCATGGTGTGCATGGTATTTGCATATAAAGCACAACATATGCTACCAAGTTTGAGGCTCCATAGGTAAAAGACACACAGTGAGCACTCTCAAAAGAAACAGCAGCTGAACATCCAGGATAAAAACGCATATAAAAATCCTCAGTAAAACATATACATATAAAAATGCAGCGCTGTAAAATGATCAAATCTTGCAAATCAACACAATAATAGTCCTGAAAAGATGCTCATTAATTCCCAGTGCCAATGGAAAGAATTCAAACTAACCAGAAGCGCATTTAAAGTACGCATGTGTGTAAGAAATCCTGGAGATTCCCCTCTCTCCCTCTGGTCAGAAAATGGATATGTGCTGAAATGGATGATAACGCCCTCTTGTGGAAAAGCAAAATCCTGCAGGCCAGGAAGCTTTTAGGATAGGATATTCCTCTTCAATGGAACCAGGGCTGGGATTGAAATCACTCTGTGGCTGTGAAATTGGGAGAGAGACCCCTCACAGAGGACACAGAGAGATACTCATAGTGTAGTATATTACTTCAATTTATTTAAAAAAAACCAAGTAAAAAACGTAATCAGGTGGCAAGTGAAAGTGACCCACTGACCCTCTTAAAATTAAAGGTGGCCGCCGGGCCTCCACATGGCACCGGCGGTGTAGTGTCAACGACGTCCACAGGCTCCTCTGACGCGTTTCGTGCATACGCACTTCTTCTGAGGTAGAGCAAGGACCCTTGCTCTACCTCAGAAGAAGTGCGTGCGCACGAAACGCATCAGCGGAGCCTGTGGACGTCGTTGACACTACACCGCCGGTGCCATGTGGAAGCCCGGCGGCCACCTTTAATTTTAAGAGGGTCAGTGGGTCACTTTCACTTGCCACCTGATTACATGTTTTTTACTTGTTTTTTTTTCAAATAAATTGAAGTAATATACTACACTATGAGTATCTCTCTGTGTCCTCTGTGAGGGGTCTCTCTCCCAATTTCACAGCCACAGAGTGATTTCAATCCCAGCCCTGGTTCCATTGAAGAGGAATATCCTATCCTGGGAGCTTCCTGGCCTGCAGGATTTCACTTTTCCACAAGAGGGCGTTATCATCCATTTCAGCACATATCCATTTTCTGACCAGAGGGGAGAGAGGGGAATCTTCAGGATTTCTTACACACATGCGTACTTTAAATGCGCTTCTGGTTAGTTTGCATTCTTTCCATTGGCACTGGGAATTAATGAGCACCTTTTCAGGACTATTATTGTGTTGATTTGCATGATTTGATCATTTTACAGCGCTGCATTTTTATATGTATAAGTTTGAGGCTCCATTTTGTCTGACTAAAACTTCTACCGAGCAATCCGCTAATGGATTTTACAGTTACTGTTCTGACTAATTCACTTGGGTATATTCATTTTAGCATGAGCTACTGAGTTCTGTAAACAATATACTTAATGTCAAAATCACAAAGGAAGAGCCTGGAATATGTGAAAAGGAGGCTAAATCTACAACTGCATTATGATGCAATATTTCATATTTACACTAGAAAAAATGTAAATTATTTTTTTTTGTCTTTGCTATAAAAAAGATACAAATGACACTGTACACTCCCTTTTATTATCGAAATGCGTATATATAAAACATTTTGATAAACAATGTCACTTACCGCCTCAACAAGTAGGGGGCAGCGGGCATACAACACAAACATGTGCACATTTAGCACGTCCCCACAGTCCGTCTGCAGCTGAGCATCACTCAGATGAGGATTATTCACCATCTCCATGAAATCTGCCATTAGAGTAATGGCTGCGTTCTGACAATACCAAGAACAATGAAAGAAGCAAATGAAAACAGTGGATGCATATATTTTGTATTCATTTTACCCAATATAACTATTTTCTTTAACGCAACCTTTTCCATATGAAGTCCTATGTAAAGCTGTACCATGGCACAAAGCAGGCATGCTCCTCCTAATGTTTTGACTGATCTGGGATCCCTGCTTTCCAGGGCACTCTGCCACACAAATACCAACTTTCATAAGTAACAATGTAAAATAGGACATTAAGCGTACCAATATCACTATGATTGTGAAGCCAGTCAATCACAATTTGGAGCAAGACCAATAAACTAGACAACAACCATGGTGCATAAAAAAAAAACCTTCATTAACAAGGCATTGTTACTATATAAAACTATCACTTTAAAGTTTATCTATGATCTAAATGTAAAATCATATTAACTTCTGTGACACAGAATTGCCCCGTGAGTTGGTACTGCTGCTGTGTCATACATTTTACAGAGCCTGCTGTGACAGACCCAACCGAGACAGGGGCTTTTGGAGGGGACTGCAGGCTAGCCTCTTGCCTACTGACCATGTCCCTGGCATCTGAGGGGGTTCTATTCTTTAAGAGGTGTGTGCCTGGGGGGGACTTTGGGAGTAGTTTACTTAGGATTCACGTCCATGTCTCCTCAAAACACACAGACTCTGAGAACTGGAAGACCAGGGTGCAGATTTGGGGTCTCGGTACCCAAACCAGCAATGACTGCGTCAATCCCCCGTCCCCTTCTTAGACTCAGAGACTCTAAGAAGATGTCGATATAATCATCTCAAAAAACAACCTGATGCTGAGGACACTTTTAATCAGTTTATTAAGGTGTTATGTGGTGTATACTGTCTTTCTGCCATTGTGTGCTTCCTAGGTGTGCATTCCCACTGTTAAGTTATTTGAGTCACCTATTGTTTCTGTCTGTCTGCTAGTCCTCCTGGAGATGTGATTAGTATTATGTCCACTTTACCTTGTTACCAAACCATTGTGGGATGTTTATTCTAATGAATATTTGTTTTTATTATTCATGTGCGGACTGCCCCTATTCCTGAAATGTATAAAAATCGGTATTTCTGTTAAATAAAGCAGTTCCAGTTGCATCTAAGCTAGTGTCACCTAGTCTTGGGTGTGATGCTTGGCTATAATACCTTGGTCCTGTGTCCCAGCGACAAGGTAGCAGTTCTCTGACGGAATCACCCAATCGGGGTGACAAGCATTCCGTCACATCTGGTGGCAAGCGGCGGGACGTGCTTCCTCCCTATCGACAGTCCAAACCACCACTGGGACCTAGTGTCGGGTGATATCGAAGAAGTGTTCCAGGAGCCAAACACCATAGAAGCGGAGTTCCAGTGGCGAATGCAAGAGAATATTGCCCAGTATGGAGAGCCTGATTCTGCCCAGGACATGCTGGAATTGAGAGATGTGATCTGTCGGAAGCTCTGGATGGAGGCTCTTCAAGTGGAGCAAGACTATTATGGAAAGATTCTCCTTACATCCCTGGATATGTACTGGCTGCAGTTGGACTTGCGTATACCATTCCTAGGAGAGCATCCTCAGGAGTCATGGATGATGGAGCTGTATAGGCTAGTCCAGACAGAAATGGTGCTGGATGATGGTTTTCGGGTGCTGCAATGGTATGCTACCCAAGTGTGTCCGTGGCTGAAGAACAGTGATCCCACAGAAGGCTATGACTACGGCAGCCAAGATTGATATTAGAGACGCTTCAGGAGGATCTACATTTTGGTAGTGCAGCAGAGTGGAGATGGGAGGACATATGAGATTTTATTGAGTTGGAACATCCCAATGAGCTCGGATTGAGAAGTGACTTGGATTTTATAGTTACACAAGAAAAGGAGCAGGAACAAACATAAAAGAGTGTTCGAGGAAGCTCAACAGTATGCCCCAGCAGCAAAGTGCTGACACTGGGACCAAGAGCCACAATCCCGTGCCCTTGATTTTCTGCAATTCCAGAGACTGGGGATTTAGTAGAATTCCCACAACCCGATAAGCCTCCAGCAGAACAGTTGGCTTCAATGCAGAGCGCTACTGACTTCTACCTACAACAGTCAGTGGCCCTGGAGAATTTGTGTGAGGTCACCGAATTTTCATTTTGCTTCCCAGCGGAAGAGCTGGCATCAGGGCAGAGCACCACTGACCTCTGCCAGGCACCAACAGCACTTTGGAACTCCAGGGAGACAAGGTGGGCAGCCCTTCTCCCCAGCAACAAGCCGATACAGTGGAACTCCTAGCCCCAGCTGAAGCGTTGCCAGCGGGGCATACACAGTCTCTGCCATACACAGTCCCAGCAGAAGCGATGGCAACAAGACAGAGGGTCCAAGACCTCTGTCCCACACCTGCAGCAGTTTCATGGGCCCAGGGAGAGGAGGTGGTTGGCCTCCTTCCCCAGCAACAGATACACAGTGCGGGAGAAAAAATGGTCGTCCTCCCTCCCCAGCTGCAGATCCACAGTCCAGGAGGGGTCACAGGCGTTCCATCACACCTGCCTTCTGAACAACAGAGGTACTGACAAGCAGGAGGAGTTTCAGGAGGAGGATGTGGGGTCAGTACAGGAGGCACTACTTGTAGGTAGCAATGTAACATGAAATATGGAAAAGCTGCAATACAAGCATGGAATCCAGGAAATTGTGGACAGAGATGGCCAGCAGACAGGCAGAACTCGCAACATGAATGATTTTCCATGTAAGCTTATTCTGGATTGTCAAAAATAACTATTGCTTGTATTGTTATTACAATGCTGATGTTATAAAATGAAAGTGTGTGCTGAAACCATTTCCTTTAGGTGTTTGAAAACTGCAATGATGTGTCATTAATATGGATTTTAATGTTTTTTTATTAATATTGAGAACTGCCTTCCCCCCTTTTTTTCTTTCTTGTTAATTTCTTTACTCGTATGATTTAAAAAAACAAAAATCTGTTTTGGTGCGCAGAGGTCCAGTTAGATGTAGATACACATGGCTTCAGCATACTTTTATTTTCTCAATGTAACACGCTTTTTGCACTCTGAATTTAATTCAGCGACCACTGTTGAATCCCTAGAGATCTTTCCCAACTCGATATGCCAGCCTATGTAGCTTTATTTTGCTCAGCAGAATATACACCAGCACATTGGATCTTTTTGATTGATGCAGTTTTTTTTATGCACACTGATAACTCTTCTATGTATTTTTCAGGTACTGTTGTTTACTGCCTTGTACTGACCTGGAATGCGTATTTTACAATTGTATGCAGTCAATGTTTCATTGTTATCTGGTGCATGCCATTAAATTAAAAGTTAAAAAACAAAATTGAGAACTACCCTGCCTCCTCCTCACCTTACTATTGGCTCCAGAATGTGATGGGCAGGCTCAACAACCAAAAGTCAAGCACAAGAGAGGGCAGGATAGATCATGACTTTATGAAGCAAAGATGGTGTTAGATTGTTTAGCAAATACACCTACTAAAGCACAATCAATAGTGAATCTTAATACAAGCGAATTTATTTTTTTAAATTTCATGGGGTTTTATCTTTTCATGAACCTGTCACCAAGAAGAAACAGACCCACAGTGCTTTATCCACTAAAAAGGGTTAAATCAACATACCTTGTTAGTATCAGGAATCTGGCTCTCTTTTCTGCTCACTACATCTTCTAAAGGAATGAATCCACTACATGTAATGCTGACTGGTGATTCTCGGCCTGGAGAAAAATATTGTGCTAAGTAAGTGTTCAGTAAAATGTAACATCAAAGGAAACAGAGATTAGAATAACTTTTTATTTTAACAGATTACCTGTTTGGTTGCTGGGTTTGCTGGGTATATAGTTCCACTGAGTCAGTGTCATGCCTTCTCCTGCCAACTCTGCCAGGTCCAGCAAAGCTTGTCTGTCCTTCTGGCTGTCAGATAGTGGCTTCTGATCTTTAAAGGGGATGGCAGGAGAAGCAACTTTGTCACTGTGTGCTTGGCTTGCTGGCAATCCTACAGGTACGTTTGGGAGTAATAGGAGTAACCACACGTGGCTGTGAGGTTAGCACCTTCTGTAGGAACAAATTACAGAGTTATAATATTCACTGAAAGCACAACTCCATCCAAAGCTAAAAACCCACTTAGTCCCCCTAACACAAATATAAGCCTCAGCTTTTAGGCACGTCCGTAGTGTAGTGTAAGTTGTGATTATTCATGTCCAGCAGTCCAAGACTGTATAATAAGCAGCCACCCTAAGGGCTCGTTCCCACTATGGTGCAGAGATGTCAGCTTTTCTTCACACGTTCTACTCGGGCATAACAGGATCAATTGTTCTTTATGTGCCCTGTTCATACCACAACACTAATATCACGTGTAGATTTTTTCTGTTCAGGAATCTGCAAAGTTAATAAAAATCATAGAAGCGCGCATGAAAACTGATGTAAACGGATGTCTCTGCAAGCGAAATGTGCACGTCAGTTCCCATCAGTTGCCCTGCACGTATGGTGTGAACGAGCCCAAAGAAAAAAAAATTGTTACATATGGGGTCTCAGTGCCTTTAACAATGCACCACATGAAGACAAAAATGTGCACATAGGTAGGTGCAACTTTTCCTATGCCATTACTGAACAGGCGGAACCAAAATAAAACATTTTTCACAGCTGTAACCATAACCCCTTAATGACCACCCAACACATATGTGTGGCAAAAGGGCGGGCTTTAACACCCACACACTGCACATAGGTGTTCCTGGGCGGCCATGTTTATATGCTGTGAGAGCGCTCACTGCCTGCTGTCTAAGACAGCTCTTGGTGCGGGGTAAAGATCGGTACCAGGCGAGTCTGGCTACTAACAGGGGCGTATCCACCGCGAGGCAAACACGGCGTTTGGCTAGGGTGGCAATTTTTAGGGGGGGGCAGCACCGCCCTCCCCTTCAAAGAAGGGATCCTTTGATCAGCAGCAGACAGCGGGAAAATCGATGTGGGGAAGGGCAGTTGCAGAGCGACAATCGTGCACCTCTTCCTCCAGCAGCTGACGAGCCAGGACCAGGGGAATGCCTGGAGCAGGGAGAGAAGCGATGAAAGGCCCGGAAGAGGTGAACTGTGTTGTCTTCTGTGGGCTCTCCCTCCTGTCATCCATCCAGCAGATTACACTGACACTGATCACTGACAGATCATATGGGACTGCACACCCCTCCCCCCCCTCCTTCCTGCTGCGGAGATCAGCAGCCCTTGGAGAGGGGGCAAGGGTGGGTGTGTGTGTGGGGTCCCATAGGATCTGAGGGAGAGGGGGGGGGGGAAAGAAAGGGAAGAGGGAGAGGGAGGGAAGAGGGAGGAAAGAGAGAGAGAGAGGGGGGGAGGAAAGAGAGAGAGGGGGGAGGAAAGAGAGAGAGAGAGAGAGGGGGAGAGGAAAGAGAGAGAGAGGGGGGGGAGGAAAGAGAGAGAGAGAGGGGGGGAGGAAAGAGAGAGAGAGAGGGGGGGGAGGAAAGAGAGAGAGAGAGAGGGGGGGAGGGAAGAGAGAGAGAGAGAGGGGGTGAGGAAAGAGAGAGAGAGGGGGTGAGGAAAGAGAGAGAGAGAGGGGGTGAGGAAAGAGAGAGAGAGGAGAGGAGGGAAAGAGAGAGAGAGAGAGAGGAGAGGAAAGAGGAGAGAGAGAGAGGAGAGGAAAGAGAGAGAGAGAGGAGAGGAAAGAGAGAGAGAGAGGAGAGGAAAGAGAGAGAGAGAGGAGAGGAAAGAGAGAGAGAGGGAGGAGGGGGGAGGAAAGAGAGAGAGAGGAGAGGGGGGAGGAAAGAGAGAGAGAGAGGAGGGGGGGAGGAAAGAGAGAGAGGGGGGGGAGGAAAGAGAGAGAGAGGGGAGGAAAGAAGAGAGAGAGAGAGGGGAGGAAAGAGAGAGAGAGAGGGGAGGGAAAGAGAGAGAGAGAGGGGAGGAAAGAGAGAGAGAGGGGGGAGGAAAGAGAGGAGAGGGGGGGGGAGGAAGAGAGAGAGAGAGAGAGGGGAGGAAAGAGAGAGAGAGAGAGAGGGGAGGAAAGAGAGAGAGAGAGAGAGGGGAGGAAAGAGGAGAGAGAGAGAGAGGGGGGGAAGAGAGAGAGAGAGAGAGAGGGGAGGAAAGAGAGAGAGAGAGAGGGGAGGAAAGAGAGAGAGAGAGGGGAGGAAAGAGAGAGAGAGAGGGGGGAGGAAAGAGAGAGAGAGAGAGAGAGAGGGGAGGAAAGAGAGGGGAGGAAGAGAGGGGAGGAGAGAGGGAGGAAAGAGAGGGGAGGAGAGGGAGGAAAGAGAGAGGGGAGGAGAGGGAGGAAGAGAGGGGAGGAGAGGGAGGGAAAGAGAGAGAGAGGAAAGAGAGAGAGGAAGAAAAAGAGGAATAAAAAGAGGGAGAGAGAGGGAGGAAAGAGGGAAGAGAGGGGGGAGAAAGAAAAAGAGGGAATAAAAAGAGGGAGAGAGAGGGAGAAAGAGGGAAGAGGGGGGGGGAAAGAAAAAGAGGAGAGAGAGAGAGGGAGGGAAGGGGGGAGAGAGAGGAGGGAGGGGAGGGGAGAGAGGGAGGGGAGGGAGGGGGAAGGGAGAGGGAGGGGGGGGGAGGGGGAGGGGGAGGAGAGGGAGGGAGGGGGGGGGGAAGAGAGAGGGAGGGAGGGAGGGGGAAGAAAGAGGGAGGGAGGGAGGGGGAAGAAAGAGGAGGGAGGGAGGGGGGAGAGAGGGAGGGAGGGAGGGGGAAGAGAGAGGGAGGGAGGGGGAAGAGAGAGGGAGGGAGGGGGAAAGAGAGAGGGAGGGAGGGGGAGAGAGAGAGGGGAGGGAGGGGGAGAGAGAGGGAGGGAGGGGGGGAGGAGAAGGGGGGGAGGGGGAAGAGAGAGAGGGGGAGGGAGGGGGAAGAGAGAGAGGGGGAGGGAGGGGGAAAGAGAGGGGGGGGAGGGGAGGGGGGGAAGAGAGAGGGGGGAGGGAGGGGGAAGAGAGAGGGGGGGAGGGAGGGGGAAGAGAGAGAGGGAGGGAGGGGGAAGAGAGGGGGAGGGAGGGGGAAGAGAGAGAGGGGGAGGGAGGGGGAAGAGAGGGGGGGGGGAGGGAGGGGGAAGAGAGAGGGGGGGAGGGAGGGGGAAGAGAGGGGGGGGAGCGGGGGGGGAGGGGGGGAGAGAGGGGGAGCGGGGGGGGAGGGGGGAGAGAGGGGGGGGGGGGGGGGGGGAGAGAGGGGGAGGGGGGGGGGAGGGGGAGAGAGGGGGGGCGGGGGGGGGAGGGGGAGAGGGGGCGAGGGGGGGGAGAGGGAGGAGAGAGGGGGGGAGGGGGAGAGGGGGGGCGGGGGGGGAGAGGGGGAGAGAGGGGGGGGGCGGGGGGAGGGGGAGAGAGGGGGGGGGAAGAGAGAGAGAACAGAAAGAAAGAGAAAATCATATATACATACACACGCTTTATTCTCTTAACTCTTATTCTATTAACTCTCTCATTGGGGAGGGGGGGTGGAAGGGTGCAAAATTTTTGTGTTGCCTAGGGCAGCACAAAATCTAAAATACATACTGGCTACTAATAATGAGACCACTGTGATAATGGTCACGATTGCCAATTATTCTGGCCCCCTGGGCATTCCGAACTATTTAAAGGGCAGATGGGGATGTATTATATATTGGTAAGGCCTCAGGAAAATTTTTTCACACAAGTTTCTAAGTTTCCTGCCCTTTGCGCTAAGTGTGATGCTCTGTGCACTCTTTATTAATTAAACCTGAAAGTCTCACAGATATATAAAGGCTGTTCTCCCACAATGTAAAGAGGTAAAATACTTAATTGGTTATATTTAGCAACTTCACCAGTACCACAAAAACAATACTTGGAGTATTGTATACATTTGAGAAATGTTTCTCCTTTAAAGTGCACTGGTCTCTATTCTATGGACATTAAAGTAGGGATGCATCAATACCATTTTTAACACAGAGTACCGATGTTTTTTGTTTAAAGTACTCGCCGATACCAATTACCGGAACCTATTGCAGGAACAGCCCACTGCATGGGAAAAAAATGTTTTCCCGGAGTTCTTCTTTAAGATAATGAATGAGACAAGACTGTCAGAGGAGGATATAGAAGCATCAAAGTGCAGGGAACATGAAAGTTGTTCCATAGATGTGTGCAAATGTGCTGTCTGATGACATGTGTGCAGTGCAGGCTATGTGTCATCTAATGAGGACCCCCCCTTTCCTTAGCCAGTGTTGATTACCCTTTCGCCAGGAGACAGGAAGGGATCACCATCCCTGCTTGGTTTAAATTGGTGGACAATGATGACCCAGCATTGCACCTTATGGATTACCTGCTCAGGGTCCTGTAAGCAGGTCAGAGGGCGGGGGGTATTGCCACTGTCCACATCAGTTGTCCACACACAGGCTCCGCCTCTGCCTCTGAATCTTGTTTATTCTCATACCCAGCTCATCCTTCGGCTGGCTGTGTGACAGCAGGGAGCCTTGCGGGGTCACTGTGACAGCAAGGTATGTCTGGGGACTTTATCGGCCCTCCTCCCATTGTATAGCACTGCCTGTGATGACTTCTGCTGGCACAAGCTGAAAGAACCGAACCTTAAGATATCGATGCATTTGCACAAGTACCGATACTCGTGTAATTGCACAGTATCGGCACAGATACCGGTATCAGCGCAACCCTACATTAAAGTATTTGCGAGTTCACAACAAGCAGAAAAGGAGCTTTAAAACAAGCCACCCCTGACCTATCTAGCTGCTTGTACTGTTCAGCAATTCATTCTGAAAGATCCCCCCAAATCACAACAAAGATATTAAAGTGAGGTTTCGGTTGGTCTCTCTAGCCTGGCAAGATTTTGGCGCAATAATAAAGTAATAGGGAAAGGGCTAGGGTTTCAGTGCTTCGGTTGTAAAATTTGAAGGCAAATTTCTCCACAATGCCTACGGTTACAGAGGTAAATCAGGTCTTATTATATACTGCGTGATCAGAATATTAGATAAGCAATTTGTTGCACATAGTCTAGGCAAAGGTTTGTGTTTAAATTCAGTATGTATTTGGAAAAAATCTACCCAAGCATTTTACCAATACATACCACAGTCAGGTTTACCTTTGAGGGAGGCTTCCATGGAGTTATTGGAGGATTTAGAGCTGCTGTATAGTAGGTGATTGTATCTCTGGTCTCCATCAAGTTGCTGATATCCCAAAAGACACAATTCTTTCCGGCACGCATTCTCCAGGTTTCACTGTCTTCCTCCTGTATGTTCCAGAAGCGGCTGGCAGGCAGTGTAATGAAGTTGTTCTCTACAGGTTCCTCACTCAGCAGCAAAGAAAACCTCTTCTGAAGCTTCTGCACAGCCTCTTCTGGGGCCTGGACCAGCAGGACAGAAGGTGGCTTGTCCTTCTTTTTCCGACGACTTTTCTTTTCTACAATACAGACAGCTCTCAGTTTAAAGAGTATGTAAACCCAACATTTCATATTCCTGATATGTGCTTGCTGTTCTATGTACTATGTGAAAAAGTATCCAGATTTCTTTGTATGGCTTCCTTTGTGTAAACTACCTGGTACTCCTGCCAATCCCTCTGCTTTCTTATTAAAAACTGACCACACTAGGCGGGAGAACACACAGTGGTCAGTACTCTAGCTATGCTTGGAACTGAGCCTGCTCTCCTCCAATGATCAGACTTGTGCTGACATACCCCTCTACACAATCTTTCACTGAGAAGACCAGCGTGTACTGCTGTTTCTGCTCCCCAAGCTCTTATGCAGCTGAGAACAGAGAGCGTGTGTGATCACTTATAAAAAAGGAGAAAAAAAAGGTATTTGTAATTTTTTTTTATATCTACACACAAACATTTTACCTTTCATTTCCAGTTTAAACCGAACGGATTGAACTACAAGGTAAGGGTTTACATATATTTTAAACTGCATGGAAGCATACTAGTTCACAAACGACTCCATAAAATGGACAGATGTCAGACTTGCAAGTAGATTCATTTCTGAACAGCAATACTGGTGTGTCTGTACCTAATGGAGCGATCTGTCTGGCAGGCTGAGCGTACTCAGGGTTTGGTGAAAAGTTTTCTTCTTGCAAAGAACGTGAAAGCGCCACTGCAACCATCAAATTTTCCATATCTGCTCCAGTCTGTGCTATCTTCCTTTTCTTGGAAGGCTCCTTCTGCTTTGGTGCCCCTTTCCTCTTTACATGGGCTATCCTGCTGGGGTGAGAGATATACAGGAGATTTATGGCTGTTTAAAGCAAATTATTATTTTATTATACAGATTTCTAAAAGCGCCAATATTTCGATAATGTACATTACAAAGGGGGACAGAACATGTGACAGAACATCATACCAATACAATGCAAAACATAAGGGGATCGGGCCCTGTGTCCTTGGAGCTTACAATCTAGGAGGGAAATGGTGGCACAGGAGGAGATAGCTGTGAGGGATGGAGTGTAGGAAAAGTACAAGGTCGGCATCTAGCAGGGGGGGCCCCTTCCCTGAAGAGGGGTTTTCAGGGTGGCCTAAAGCAAATGCCCGAGTTTCCAATATAGGTCAATACCGCCCCTGATAATGTTGAAAGATCATGAATGACAAATGATGAATCATCATTCAGCTTGACTTTCAGTTTTGCACACCTGTAAAGGCTCCTCTCCTATACTGAAATTATGAGCATCTCACAGTGTGCAATAGAGGCTGCAGCAAGTCAGAGAGACCCTGCCTCATTTCTTGGTTGAAGGGCACCCAGTATCATCTAGCTCTTTCCTCCCCAGCCTTGTTTTCCCTAGCTCACTGCTTTCATTCATTATATTTCAGATATTTTAATCATGGAGGCACAGAGTTACATTTAGGCATTACCTAGGTTGGTCTGCGGTTTTCAGGAAGCTATGTGCAGCCCCTCCCACCAGCCATGATCTACCTTCATTGCATAAAGAACCACAGAAACCCAATGAAGATATCACGGGGCCTAAAATAAGGGGTGTAATGAAAATGGGAAGGTTTTTTTTTTTTCACATGTTGATGAAGGAGGAAGGTAGGAATCAGGGAAAGCAAAAAATATGCAGAATAAGTTTCAGCTTTACCAACCTAAGAATGTTACATTTTTCTTTAAAAATACTATTATTATACAGTATTTATAAAGCGCCAATAGTTCGCTCAGCGCTGTACATTACAAAGGGGGACAGAACATGTGACAGAACAATACCAATACAATGCAAAACATGAGGGGATTGAGGGCCCTGCTCTTTTCGAGCTTACAATCTAGGAGAACTAATGTTCAATACCTTTAGTAAATAAGAAAGCATCGTTCCTATGGTCTCTGGAGATCTTGAAGCAGTAAAGTTCAGGTAAAGCATGTCAAGTCAGCTGTACTGGACTGCTGGAATTGCTTTCCCAAGGTCCTATGCCTCAGTAAAGATAGAATAGTCAATGCCTTAGCATTGGTAATACGGTCCAGACACCAGAGTGATTAAGTATTTCCCTTAGTATGGAAAAAAAAAAAAAAAATAGGTAATTTATATCGTTTGTAACCATTGTGCACAGACTCCTGTCAAGCTTGCAGGATGTTGGCTGTTAATCAGCACTCAAATCCAGGTGCTGGTTTCCTCTTGGGTGCTATCTTTTACACTGGAGAAGAGCTCACTTTTTCTGCAAATGAAATACCAAAATCCTGATGTCACAGAATAACCTCCACCTATATTCAGTGTCCTCAGTTGCTAGGTGGGCCTTATTCATAAAAGAAAGATGTATGCAGAGTTATGCATTTACTTGCATTTCTGTATAGACTTATGGCTGCACAAATGTATTATATTTTATTCTTTAGGAAACAATTTGCCCTAAGAGAGAAAAACTAAAGCCAATAAGTAATGGGAATCAAGTTTACTACTGTGAAATCATCAGTGCGATCCAAGTTAATAATTTTTTTCTGGATGTAATGGTTTTTGTTGTGACATGGCAACTCCCCATATATGGAACACAAGATAATTTAAATATGTCACCTGTCTATACAGTGATACTGAGGTGGTACAAAGTAACACATACAGCTTGTATATAATACAGAAGGCTTATTAGAGGACAATCATCAGTGCCCAGTACTATCTGAATTATCTGCAATGTTCTTCTAGAACTTTTATTAAAGCGGAGTTCCACTCACCCTGTCAAAAAATAAAAGTCAGCAGCTACAAAAACTGTAGCTGCTGACTTTTAAAAAACAGCCACTTACCTGTCCCTCGGTGTGTCCCCCACAGCTCGTTTCACCGGCAGTCCTGTATTCCAGGAGGCCAGCATCTTCAGTGTGGGCACCCGGCTGTGACAGCTTGCAGCTTCACAGCCGGGTACCCACTGCACATGCACAAGTAGTGTTGCGCTTCATGAATGGTCCTGTAGTCTTCTGGGACCTGTCACGTGTCTGAAAAGACTACAGGGAGGGAGGGAGGACACCTTCCATTTCCGATCGCCTAGGCGATCGGACCAGACATGGGAGCGGGTACCTGTCAAATTTGGGTGCCCGCCCCCAAAGGTGTCAATCCTTAATGGGGAGCGGGGGGCAGTCCTTAAAGCGGAACTTCCCCTTTTGGGTGGAGCTCTGCTTTAAGGAGAAAAGAATTCCCTTAGCATAGGTACAGTCTTGAACTTACTGACTATTCTTCTGTAAGAAGCATGTAACATGCATCATGGTGATCAGAGGCCCAACCCTATGCAATCATATAGTGCCTAACAGAAAAAACCTGATTAGACATTGGACACATTGCAGAAAGATGTACAGTACCGTCATAGTCACCTAAATCTGCAGTGTTAAAATGGATCTTGTGAGAAAAAATGGAAGATAACAATAAAGCTTATATCACTCACTCTGCTTTGTTAAAGTAACTCATATCTGCAGCAGCTTTTAATGCCGTTTCCCGTTGGGGGTCTTCTGACTTGGAAAAGCTTTGACAATTCCTGAATTGGCCAGTGAAGCCACTTATCATAGCCAATAAGAATGCATTGAGGAGCGGGAGGAAGATGGCAAGCTCTGATATGGAAATTTTTTTTCCAGTCAGAATGGCCTAGAGGTTAGAGGAATAAAAGATGCTGTAGGAATGTGTGGGTACCTCTAAGTGCTGTCAGCAATCTGTAAAGATCACCTTGCCTCAGCAGAGAACTTGGTTTGCTGGCCATGTGATTTGTGATGTCATCAATCTTTCATCTTCCCAGGTGAACGCTACAGCATAAAGCTCTATCCCTGCCAAATCTAATGAAATTTTAGAGGCAGAAGAGACCTATCTTTGGACATTAAGATATAATTATTTAAAACTGTACATCTTTGAAAACATCCCATAGACACTACTAAATCTTGTGAAAAGCCTTCCAAGAGTTGAAGCTGTTATAGTTGCAAAGGGCAGGGCCAACTCAATATTGAACCCTACGGACTATGACTGGGATGCCATTAAAGTTCATGTGTGTGTAAAGGCAGGCGTCCCAATACTTTTGGCAATATAGTGTATGTCCCCATAGAGGAAATAAAAGCAGTAAAACCCTTAAAAAATAATAATAATGTAACCCTCATTGTCTCCATTCAAAAGATAAAAAGGTCTTTTTTAAGCTTTTTTTATTAGATATTTTTTACAGAGTAAAGTTGAGTAAAAGAGGTTGGGTGACCATCTGCTGGTTAGAAGTCACAACCAAGAAAATGTCATAGTGCCACGTCCCAATTGGAGGATAAATATATCAAAGATTGCCAATGGACTTTTTAGGCACATGAACTCAGTACACAGAAAATAAAAGCAGTTGTTACTTTATTAACATATTATATCTAAAATATATCTTTCGTGCATTTAAAATTGCATTGCACATTTAATCACAGCGTGTTTCCCCCCCAACAATTAGAAAAATTGTAAGTTTTTCCAATGGAAATTTGGTAGAGATGGCAGACGCAATCCACTTCCTTCAAAAGGAGGGGAACATCCAAGCTGTGTAGATGAAGCCCAACATGTTTCGCGACTGAAGTAGCTTCTTCAGGTGCTAGCAACGCATCTAAAAGATGAACAAACTTGACAGTAATCACTGTAATATTAAACAGTGAATACAAATACAACATGGGTACCGCCTATAAGGCACTTACATGAAAGGTAAACAGTGTGTATTGTATGATAAAGGACTACTCAATGCAGCAACACAGGTCCCCCAGCCGACCAGAAAAGGAACCCCACGGCGGGTGTGGGGGACGCATGAATTAGGCAATAAGCAAACAGATTTACCAAACAGGAATCACGGCATTCAGCAGAGAAATAAAGAATCAGAGGTACAGGGCGACATTAGGCATCATCATTATAATTATCCAGCTAATGAAGTATAGTAGTGGAGGACAACATAGGCCTATAAAAGACCAAAGTATAAAAAGTAGTTAGTGTTGCCTTCAGATAGGCAACCTAGCTATAAATTGCATAATGATCCAAAGTAGATTCCACCATCAGTAGATTCGAAATGGATCACCTCCACCATAAGGCATAAAGACCGATTGGCCTGAAAAACAGGGAATGGGAATATCCCAGGATAAAGACCCCTCTCAGCTCTCTCCCCTCAGAAAACATGTATCCATCATCATTGCAACTACTAAAAGAGTCCAATTATACCTAATATATTATGAACAGAGCAGGCCCGTCAGACTAGAAGAGCCACAAACTGCCTTTGTGGTGTTCCAGGAGCCCCAGGGGGTTTGTCCGCCGACCCACACTGCTTAAATGCGCATCGACGCCAGCCGGCGTGTGACGTCATCCCAGCCTGGCCAGAGCATTCACGTACGTGCGCAGAGCGTCACGCTGGCTGAGCAGCGAAAACGGCGCTGTGGCAAGGACAACCGCGCACGCGCAGACAACCCCCACCCCTCCCTGAACCCAATCGGTACCCATGTTGTATTTGTATTCACTGTTTAATTTCACAATGATTAATGTCAAGTTTGTTCATCTTTTAGATGCGTTGCTAGGCCGTGAAGAAGCGACTTCAGTCACAAAACATGTTGGGCTTCATCAACACAGCTTGGATGTTCTCCTCCTTTTGAAGAAAGTGAATTATGTGTACCATCTCTACCAAACGTCCATTGGAAAAACCTACAATTTTTTTAATTGATGGGGGAAAACATGCTGTGATTCAATGTGCAATGCAATTTTAAATACATTAAAGATATATTTTAGATATGATATGTTAATAAAGTAACAACTGCTTTTATTTTCTGTGTACTAAGTTTATGTGCCTAAAAAGTCCATTGTCAATCTTTGATATTTTTTACATAGTCTTTTTCCTCAAATACCATAATAATGCAAGATTTACATTCTCACCCTGTTGGTACTTCTGTGCTCGTCTCAGTAGCCTGTCTCTGCACAGCTTGCAATAGCGTCTGTGCAGGCACCTCCAGCTTGGCAGCACAGCGCTTCAGGTGAGAGGCACGGGCTTTCTCTGTGGTGAAGGGCTTTCCACATAACGGACAGCAGGGAACCACCGATGCAGCTGAATTACCTTGTAAACCTTCACTCTGATCCAGACACCTGCGAGATCATGAAACAAGTCTTAGAAACACAGTTATAGGTAGGTAGTGCTCTGGTGTAATGATACGTTCTCTAGCCCCACCTGTTGACATGCTGTTCCCGCAGCACGCTGCTCATGGCAGTCAGGTCTTTTTGGCACAGCTGACAGAAGAAGAGTCCTTCATCTTCTAAGTTAGGTGAATGCTTCTTAAGGTCCAGTTGCAAAGCCATCGCAAGATCCCCATCGGTGTGAACATCTGCATCTGCTGTAAATGCTTTGACTTAACAGGAACAGTATGGGTAAAGTTAGATGAGATTGAAATCACTGGGGATGTGTCATCACCTACAGTATAGGTTGTGGAATCACTCACCCTGTTCTCCATTGGTCTCCAAGCTATTCAGCTTCATCCGGACAGGGGGTGCCCTCTTATACTGCTGCATCCTTTCCAAGACAAGATCTTTCACACAAGGTTGGTCCTGCTGTCCAGCTGTTTCCTCTTGAGACTCTTTACCGCTGCAATCTGAAAAACGAAGCATTAGGGGATAAAAAAAGTCTCAATATTGTTAAAGTTTCTGTTAAAATTAATGTTCAAATTCCACTGTTTCCTGCAAAGAAGATGCCCACACTAGCAACCACTGCAAAAGTGAAGCAAAACCGCCGGCTGAAGATTCTGCAGAATCCAACACTTTCAGGAGTGATGACTTCCTGGTTTGCCCCTGTGTGCTGTAGTTCCTTCAGCTGGTGCTTAAGACACTATGGGGTTTATTTACTAAAGCTGGAGAGTGCAAAATCAGGCTCACTTCTACCTAGAAACCAATCAGCTTCTAACTTCAGCTTGTTCAGTTAAGCTTTGGCAATAAAACCTGGAAGCTGATTGGTTCCTATGCAGAAGTCAGCCTGATTTTTGCACTCTCTAGCTTTAGTAAATAAACCCCTATGGGACAGTAGTGGCATAAAGGCCAATCAACCATCAACCAAACCAGCGAGAGCAGCGCAGGACCAGGAATTGGACACTCCTGGAAGTGTCGGATTTTGCAGGATCTTCAGTTGGCGGGTTCTTTTCACTACTGCAGTGATCATCAGTGTGGGAAGAAAGCAGAGGAGAATATTCCAGTTCTGCTCTGCAGCCAACAGTTGATTTTGAACATTTATTTCAGTGACAAAGTTGTTTTAAGAATGCTGGCCTCTGGATTCTAAAATGTAGGAAGAGTGTAGATGTCGACCAAAAGCAGCCAATCAGTTGTTTCTTTTATTTTTTTTTTTTGAGCTGTGAAAATAATGAAGATAAACGATATTGATTAATGTAGAAGTCACCTCTGCTTTCATAAAAAGGGAACCAACCATAGTATAAATATAGTGTAGTATTAAAAATAAATATGACAGCTGCCATTGCTGACTTTATGTATGAAATAAAGACTGAGTAAAGAAAAAATAAAAAATAGTCTGTTTTGTTTTATATTTCAGCCATTATTATTATTTTTGGCTGGAAACATCCATGCATATATAAACATATATAAACATATCTGCATGGATGTTTCCAGCCAAAAATAATAATAATGGCTGAAATATAAAACAAAACAGACTATTTTTATCCTTCTTTACTCAGTCTTTATTTTATACATAAAGTCAGCAATGGCAGCTGTCATATTTATTTTTAATACTACACTATATTTATACTCTGGTTGGTTCCCTTTGCAGGAAGAAAAAGGCATTAAGAAAAGAAAATATAATGCTAATATTCAGGTGGAGAAATAAAGTAATAGAATACCTGCAAGGTGCTAAAGTTTTCCTGCTGCCTTAAAGTGTCAGTATACATAAATTATTTTGTGATAACTTGGTTTAGGAAAAATTCATACAAATAAAAGCAGCGAGCACTGAATATCAAAAAAGTGTTCCTAAATACCCTTTGTAGTCTCTTTTTTTTTCAGGGTCTTATGATGGCCTTGCTTGTTCTGGGCTCTGCACTGTCCAAGCATTGGGCGCGACCAAGCTGCAGAGTGTCAGGTGCCATCCTGATGTAACCACTCATACGGCTCATTCACACTAGAAACAGCACATTTACTACGCATTATTTCTTTGCATATTTGCATGTATTTGATGTGTTTTTATTCGCGTTTGCATGCAGCTGACGTGCATTTTTCTATCTGCATTTGTCCTGTGAGGTCACTTCCTTCTTTCTTTCCTTGGGCTTCTATGTGCACTGTGATGCGTTGCAGTGCATTTGCGTGCATTTACATGCGTTTTGCACATTTGTAGTGCAGAAAAAAAATGCAGCATGCTCTACTGCAATGGTGTGAACTATGTCCATAGGACAGCCTGGATTTTGGACTGTCTATGCAGTTGGACTGCAGTCAAAAATGCATCCAACTGCACGTGGTTTGAAAGGGCCCTAACACCCCGTTCACATTGGTGTGACTAGGCATGTGATTTGCATGCCCTGTGACTTGCAAATTGGATGCCAAGTCTCACCCTATTGTCCACAATTACAGTGGTCATATCGGTGCGGTTTCGACTTGGTCAGAGCCGCACCGATTTCAAAAGTAGCACATGCACTACTTTTGGTGCGATTTGCATAGACATCTGTAACAGCTTCACAAGGTTGACATTGAAAATTACCATTATAATTGAAAATGAAAGCAAAAGAAAATCCCACATTTTGGGTCCCTAAAAAAGTAATGGAGGGGAAATTTTCCAATGGGGACACTAGTTCTGGTGACCTGGGGGCCCCAAGGAATTCCCTTATTGTGCAGGGATTTTATCGTATTTCATGTTTGGCTATAGGACAGGATGTGAAGGGAAATCTCCCCAATGGGACACAGGTGACAAAAAAAAAAAATCTGAAGGGGTTATAACCCTCCCTTACTTTATCCAAAATTTAAAAAAAAAGAAAAATTTTTGCATATAGCGCTACTTTAACCATTTCAATACCGAGCAATTTTCCCCCTTCCTGCCCAGGCCATTTTTCAGGTTTCAGCACTCTCACACACTTTGAATGACAATTGTGCGGTCATACAACATTGTACCCAAACTAAAATTTTATCATTTTCTTCACACAACTAGAGCTTTCTTTTGGTGGTATTTAATCACTGCCTGGGTTTTTATTTTTTGCCAAATTAACAAAAAAGACCAACTTTTGTTTAAAAAAAACACACATTATTTGTTTCTGTTATAAAGTTTGCAAATAAATAATTGTTCTTCATAAATTTAGGCCGAGATGTATTCTGCTACATGTCTTTGGTGAAAATAACCCAAATTAGGATGTATTTTTTAGTTTGTAGGAAAGTTATAGAGTTCACAAACTATGGTATAGATCTGAATATTGATCAATCCTGAAGTACTGACAGCTGATCTAATTTCTTGAGGTCCAAGAATGTCAGAACAGTACAGATATCCCCCAAATGACCCCTTTTTGCAAAGTAGACAGTCTGACATACTTCATAAGAGGAATGGCGAGTTTTTTGAAGTCGTATTTTTTTTGTCATAATTTTTTGGAAAATTAAAAAAAAAAAAAAAATTATTTTCACTATTTTTTTTTTTACATACTGTCACCAGGGCAGTACAGCGTCATCATATAACTGGCATGGTGGTGATCAGGGACACTGACTGGTGACAGAGCAAAAAAAAAAATATATATATATTTTTTTTTTTTTTTTTTTTTATTAAATTCTTTTAAGATTTTTTTTTTTCATATTTCACTATGTCCAAAGTAGTACAATGTTACCATAGTAACATTGTACTACTTTGGGGGAAGTGATCAGTATTTTTTTTTTTTTTTTTTTTACACAATTTGCTTATAGCAAAGAATTAGTTTGCTATAAGCAAGCATTTACCTGAATGACATCGATTCATTCTGGGTTTTTTTTTTTTTGTGCTTAGCTGTGATTTGGCTACAGCTAATCACATGACATGTGATTAGCTGTGACCATTCACAGCTAGGCACTAGTATACAATGGATGGCATGAATGAAGCCATCCATTGTATACAACTGTCATGTGACCTGCTGTGATTGTTCACAGCAGGTCACATGGTACCGGCAACGGGGGGCGGTACTCAGATCTGTCATCGGCCGTGTCCGAGGTACACGGCCGGTGACAGATCGCGCCACTGCGCGGCTCTGCAAGCGCGCGAACTGCGCATGTATGGGAGGACGCCATATGGCGGCCTCCCGGAAAGGTAATGCACTTTTGCGGACGCCATTTGGCCATAGGCCAGGCGTCAAATGGTTAAGACAGTGAATTGAGCCATTCAGTAAACTGAAGCAATTTTCAGCCAATCATGCCTCTGGGAATAATGTCATCACACCAGAATGCATAAACTCTCACTCTATGGTTGTCTCAAATCGGTGTAAGTAAACACTGGAAGGGAAAAAAAACAGTTTTGTGTATTTTAATTACCTTTCTCTGTGTGCCCATTGGGCAGGTGGATCTGCACAGTGCTCCCCGCTTCTTCCTCATTACTTGTCTTCTCTGGTCCATTTCCTGCCTTGATGTTCTGTTCCACCTCCTTACTGACCCCATTACTTGTCTTGCTTTTGGTCCTGGAAGGTTTGGGCTTTTTTAACTTGCTCTTGCCTGTAGTGCTGGCTGTGGAAACACTCGGACCCTCCAATGGCTTGCTCTTTTTAACCCGCTTCAAGAGCTTGGTACATAATTCAGTAAATTCATCGTCTGATTCAACCATTAGTAAATCCTTTCAAGTACTGGATAATACGAGCGGGTCAGCAGACAGAGGGCAGGCAAGCCGAATCTTCATCTCACCATCACATGGTAGGGACAACCATTACTGTAAAGCATCTTTAGGGAAAAGAAAAAAAAATGTACATTAACAGTCAGCATAGCTACATTTGTCAGTCCATTTCCTGATCCCCAAATGGAATTTGTCCATTTGAGGATCAGTTTTTCAAGGGGAAATATATGTATAGCACAAGGACCTGATGAATGCACTTGATGTGGGATCTCTTGGCATGAGATAAAGACCAGCTTTATTGGTGCAGCTTGGTCACATAGTGTTTGACTTAGCTTGAAACAAATAAAAGTGATGTCATGTAAGTAATCTGCTCTTTCCAATATTATACTGCTGGGATATTTTACCTGCTGGATAATCAGTGAAGCAGTGAGCATAATGGAATCATGCTGAAATGGCGTATGCATTGAGAGCAATTAGAAGGTCTCCATCTCTCTGTCCATGGCTAAAACACCTTGGTTGAATTCTGGTTCAATAAAAGATGTGCGGTTGACCTTCGTCATAGGGGTGAAGATTTAAACTTGAACTATTGGACGAAACGCACTAGGGCGGAGTCTCAGTACTGACATCACACCGCTGCACAATCCTGGGTCTTTATCAGCTCTCTCAGTGAGTTTTTTTACTGTCACACTGTTTAAACTGAGTGACTGGCTCTGTTCTACGACAAATCTTTATTTAAACTACACTTTCATTGGCTTTCTGTTGGCTCCTTGGTGAGCTCTGTTCGTTCCTGCGGGAGTTGCCTTTTGCTGCTGCCTAAGAGGAGTGATTCCAGAGTGGAAGTGCATACAACTGGGGAGGATTTGTGCCTGAGAAACATGCTTTGTCTGCTGTACCGGTTTCTGCTTACAGTTTGGTGAGTATGCCACTTCCAGGACAGGCTGTTGGGGTTTTTATTACATGGTTTGGTGAGTATGCCTTTGATGGTGGCGGTACTGTGTTTTGCTACACTACAAGGATCTTGCTGGATGGCATAAGATCTTTTTTTCTATGAACATATACGGAATTTGATTTCAGAGACACTTCACATTTTGCACATTGAACAGGATTTGTTTTTTTTTTTGTATGTTTTTGTTCTATTCACTGGCACTGCATCATGTAAGTCTTTAGGTTTGGGTTTATCAAACTTTGTTTGCCAGCAGCCAGATGTGTTATCACAAAGCAGATTCATTACAACACGTTCAAAGTGGAACTATACTCTCCATCAGTCCAGTGATATGGAGTCCCCTAGTTCCCCACTGAAAAACTGACATCTTCAGACGGGCAGCTTGTAGGTTTCGCTGGCCGCTTTCATTAGCCGGGGCGAGATGACGTCACTGCCATGCATGCATGGGAATTCAGTCATCTCAGCATTACTGAACTTGTACAACGAGCTGCACGTGCACAGCTCACTGTAAAGGGGCGGACAGGCAGGAAAATAATTTTAATGCAGAAAAGAAGTAACATGTCCCTACTACATTAAAAATCATGACTGTTGGTCCATTTTTATTCCTTTCCATAAAGTTCCACTTTAGGGCTCGTTCACACCTGGTGCAGAGACATCAGTTTTTCTGCACACATTCTGCAAGGGCACAACAACTCAATTGTTCTCTATGTGCTCTGTTCACACCACAACACTAGTATAACATGCTGATTTTTTTTCTGCACAGGAATCTGCAAAACTGGAATTGAAATGTGCATGAAAACAGATGTCAACTGAAGTCTCTGCACATGTGGTGTGAACAAGGCCTTAACCCTTTGAGGACCATAAGATTACGGAACGCCAAAAGAATCAATTGTTTGTTTTTAAAGTTCGTACACTTCAGTTGCTGTAACTAAGCCATTTCATGAAATAATTGGCAAAAAGCTAGATCCATTTGTTGATAAGAACTAATATTTTGACTCAAACCAAAAAAAAAAAAAAAGAAAAAAAAAAAAAAAAAAAAGTATTTTAAGTTCTTAATCAGATGATACAGGCAATTAAAAACATGGGACAAATACGTCCCTTGGTCCTCAAAGGGTTAAGATAAGCGTTCACTCAAAGGGGTCAGTGGAGGTTCTTCACTTTGATCACATGCACTCTCCCAAGAAAAAAAAAAACACTCTCTAGCAATACACACTAAACTGAGCATGTACAGAGTGACTCCTAGAGCTCTGTACTCTTCATTCTCCTCTGACTATCCTATGAGGCTTCTGAACACCTGACCCTCCGTTTGGACAGTGCTGATTAGCCCTGTACTGATCACATGCATCCTTCGAAAGAAAATAAAAAAAACTCTCTAGCAATACACACCAAACTGAGCATGTGCAGAGTGTGTCCTAGAGCTCTGTTCTATCAGCAGATGGACTGGGACAGTAGAAGGGGAGGAACAGAGAAGACAGGATCAAACAGCCTTTTTACACAATGCAGAGGATTAACCCCTTAGGCTCCACAGTGAGTATAATAACCATACTTTTACTGCATATACAGACTGATGTTACTGTTGTGGGTTTAGTAACACTTTAACAGGAAAGAAGTCACATGACCAGTATTTATACACAAAAAAAAAGGCACATGGTGCATGATGGGAACTGCAGTATTCCAGCACAGCTGTCAGCTGTGGACGGTTGTGTAGGCTACTTGTAGTTCTCCAGCAGAGCTGGCAAGTCTGTAGGCCATTAAGAATGCTGGGACTTGTAGTTATACAGCACAGCTGTCATCTCTGTGGAGAACTGCTTGTAGTTCTGTCTGGTCTGGAAGGAACGATGCATGCGGAGGATTTTATCAGATCTGAGGACTATGGGCTCTGTGAACGGTCCCTAGGACCTATAACCCCCAACAGAGTGCTGTGTACGGTCATGCAGGATGAATCTGGATGTTTACCAGGACACCTGTGAGCAATGACAGTGCATGCTGGGACTTGCAGTTCCACAACCCAACTTTGGAACACCCACCTCTGTAGCAATACGGGTTGGGATATAATTCCTCAGCACAGTTGTGAGCACAGCTGAGACTTGTAGTTCTGCTGGCAGCCCCTAGGACCCAGACCCCCTTCACACAGTGTGTTGTGTGACCAAGGCAGGCCGTAGAGACGTGGAGTGTCCCATCACAGCAGACAGCTCACTGAGCAATGATGCAGGAGAAGACCGGCAGTTATCCAGCAAAGCAGGCGAAGAGCAATGATGCATGCTGGGACTTGTGGTTCTGCATCACAGCTGTGGGCAATTAGCTTTGTGAATCGCATGCAAGGACTTCGTTCTCCTGCAGTGCTGGCTGTGAGGACAGTAATGCATGCTGAGACTTGTGGTTCCCCGGCACAACTGCTTGTGAGGACAGCAATGCATGCTGAGACTTGTGGTCCCCCCCAGCACAGCTGAGAGGACAGTAATGCATGCTGAGACTTGTGGTTCCCCGGCACAACTGCTGGTGAGGACTGCAGTGCATGCTGAGACTTGTGGTTCCCCAGCACAGCTGGCTGTGAGGACTGTGCTGCTGAGACTTGTGGTTCCCCAGCACAGTAACATGTGGTTCCCCGGCACAGCTGCTTGTGAGGACAGCAATGCATGCTGAGACTTGTGGTTCCCCAGCACAGCTGGCTGAGGACAGCAATGCTGCTGAGACTTGTGGTTCCCCAGCACAGTAATGCATGCTGAGACTTGTGGTTCCTCAGAGCAACTGCTTGTGAGGACAGCAATGCATGCTGAGACTTGTGATTCTCCAGCTGGCTGTGAGGACAGCAATGCATGCTGAGACTTGTGGTTCTCCAGCTGGCTGTGAGGACAGCAATGCATGCTGAGACTTGTGGTACCCCAGCTGGCTGTGAGGACAGCAATGCATGCTGAGACTTGTGGTTCCCCAGCACAACTGACAGAGGACAGTAATGCATGCTGAGACTTGTGGTACCCCAGCACAGCTGGCTGAGAGGACAGTAATGCATGCTGAGACTTGTGGTACCCCAGCACAGCTGGCTGAGAGGACAGTAATGCATGCTGAGACTTGTGGTTCTCCAGCTGGCTGTGAGGACAGCAATGCATGCTGAGACTTGTGGTACCCCAGCTGGCTGTGAGGACAGCAATGCATGCTGAGACTTGTGGTTCTCCAGCCCCAGCAATGCATGCTGAGACTTGTGGTTCCCCAGCACAACTGACAGAGGACAGTAATGCATGCTGAGACTTGTGGTACCCCAGCACAGCTGGCTGAGAGGACAGTAATGCAGGCTGAGACTTGTGGTACCCCAGCACAGCTGGCTGAAAGGACAGTAATGCATGCTGAGACTTGTGGTACCCCAGCTAGCTGTGAGGACAAGCCAAGCATGCTGAGACTTGTGGATCCCCAGCACAGTAATGAATGCTGAGACGTATTCCCCCCAGCACAGCTGTCTGGCCTCCATAATGGAAGATACAAGTACACCCCCTCAGGCCTCCTCTCCTGTCTCTGCACCACCATTGCCGCCCTCCCCGTCTCCCCATTTATCACACACTACCTCAGCCCCGCCGTACACTCCGATCCGGAAGTGACTCCATTACGTCACCGCGACACCAGCAACAAGCGTCCAGCCGGCCCCGCAGCAACAGGGTGTGCTGCCCTCTAGCGGCGCTGCGCTGCTAGTAATTCACCCGAACAAAATGGCCGCCTAACGATCCTCTGGGGCCGATTCATTTGCATTGTGTACTGTCTGTGTGGAGAGAACCTCCTATCTGTGCAATATGGCCTGTTACCATCAGCTAGTCAGGAGAGCAGGTCCCAGTTGAGGACATGTTTCCCCAGCTGCTAACTTGGCTGTGAGGATTAGTCCGTGCTGGATACAGAGCTGTGTGTTCCCGCCTCTCACATGACCTCCCTCTCTCTACACATTATATGGCCAAAAAAGTATTGGCCCCGCCCTCCAAATCATGTGATTCAGGTGTTCCAATCCCCTTAATGGCCTCAGGTGTATATAATGAAGCCCCTAGGCATGCAGACTGCTTCTACAAACATT